TGGCAGGTGCCTATAGTCCCAGCTACTTGGGAGGCTGAGGCAGGAGAATCATTTGAGCCCAGGAGTTGGAGGTTGCTGTGAGCTATGATGCCACAGCACTCTACCCAGGGTAGAAAAGAAAAAAGAAAGAAAAGAAAGTGAACTCTCTTTTAATATATTTATTGGCCATTTGGACTACATAAATTTCTAGTGCATATTGTTTGCTATCTCTTGGTTGTGCTTTTTATCTCTTTCCTATTGAGCTTTTGGTCTCTTTTATCAATTTATAAAAATCGTGTATGTGTTCTGAATACTGATATTTTGTTGGTGTCGGCCAGTATGTGGCTTTGTCGGTGGTTGTGGTAAAGAAAAAAATATATTATTTTAATGCAATCAAACTCATCAGAAAATTTACTTATGTTGTATGTTTGGGGGTCTTGACTAAGAAATATGCTCTACCCTGAGATCATAAATGTAAGCTATAACATTTTCTAATGGTGCAAGGAAGGGGTGCAGTATTGTTTTTCTCCATAGATGGCCAACTGCCTCAGCATCACTGATGCTACATCATTGATTTATAATGCTACCTCTGTCAATTTCCTAGTCCTTATTATACAAATATGTCCACTTCTAGGTTCTCTATTTTCCTCCATCGTGTAATTGGTTTTTCTCTGCAAAAATACATCAGTTGTTGTAATCCCTATAGCTTTATAACAAGCTTTGATATATTATACTGAATCCCTATTTTCCTTATAAAAACTAGATATTTTGGTAAATATTGATAGGTGTTAAAAAAAAATAAATCACAGGCTACTTTAAAGATGCTCAAAAGATGAGAATTTCTTTTTAGATATTGCTTTTAGATTGTATTTCTTTGAGTATTATACCATGGGCTCCCAAGAGTATCAGGGTCCTCAAACTGGTTCTGGTTCTTGAACCAGGGCCAATATAAGTTTGTGAATGAAGCTGATATCATAAATTTAAATAGATTTGGTATTTTATTGATCAACAAATTTATATAGAGCATACATTAATTGGCTAAGGTAGATTCTGGGTCTAGAACCAATGAACAAATTAAAAACAATAATGTAGTATGTAGACAAGGATGGCATGCAGAATAAAACAGGTCATTACACACAAAATTAGGAAGGAAAATGAGATTCTGATGACCAAGAATTGCTTTGGTTCCAGACAAAGAAACTCTGGAGTCAAAATCCTTGAGTCCAAATCCCAGCTTCTCCTCTTCTTTCTCCTGTGACTGTGAAAGTGTCTGCCTCAGCGGTCCCATCTGAAGAGTAGAAATAATAATAGTACCTACCCAGGTTATGCATTTAAGATCATTGAATCAGTTACAACACATGAGCTATTAGAACAGTGTATAGGAAAGACGTTCATTAAACATTACCTGTTAGTATACAATGTGGGGAATGTAAGAAAATACAAATGAAGACATGCTCTAAGTCAAAACAACACGATGGCATCTACTACACGATGCCACAGTCAGCATTTCTGATTCTAAGACATTCCATTTTTCCTCTTCAACTTTCTCCACCAGTGTCTCCCAGCTGATATATAAGCATGAGGCCAGAGAACCAGACCGATGTGTCCGAGTTCCTCCTCCTGGGGCTCCCCATCCGGCCAGAGCAGCGGGGCGTGTTCTTCCTCCTGTTCCTGGGCATGTACCTGACCACGGTGCTGGGGAACCTGCTCATCATCCTGCTCATCCGGCTGGACGCTCGCCTCCACACCCCCATGTACTTCTTCCTCAGCCACTTGGCCCTCATTGATGTCTCCTTTTCATCTGTCACTGTCCCAAAGATGCTGATGAACCTGCAGACCCAACACCTATCTATCCCCTATGAGGGGTGCATTTCACAGACATATTTTTTCATCTTTTTTGCTGACCTGGACAGTTTCCTTATCACATCAATGGCCTATGACAGGTATGTGGCTATATGTCACCCTCTACTTTATACCACCATCATGAGACAGAGCCTTTGTGTCATGCTGGTGGCTGGGTCCTGGGTCATTGCTTGTGCTTGTGCTCTTTTGCACACCCTCCTCCTGGCCCAGCTTTCCTTCTGTGATGACCACATGGTCCCCCACTTCTTCTGTGATCTTGGTACACTGCTCAAGTTGTCTTGCTCAGACACCTCCCTCAATCAACTGGTAATTTTTACAGCAGGACTGACAGCCATTATGCTTCCGTTCCTGTGCATCTTGGTTTCTTATGGCCATATTGGTGTCACCATCCTCCAAGTTCCCTCCACCAAGGGTATCTGTAAAGCCTTGTCCACCTGTGGATCTCACCTCTCCGTGGTGACTCTCTATTATGGGGCAATTATTGGTCTCTATTTTCTTCCCTCATCCAGCAACACCACTGACGAGAACATAGTTGCTTCAGTGATATACACAGTAGTCACTCCCATGTTAAATCCCTTCATTTATAGTCTGAGAAATAAAGACATGAAAGGGGCCTTACAAAAACTCTTGAGTAAAAAAAACATACTCTTCTAACTGATACTTACCTTTCTTGTAAAACAACCACATGACCTTATTTTATCAATAACATAAATAAAAATTATTGAAAATAACTCACTTGTCTTCCTTTCACAGCTGTAACTCTGAAATACTTTGCCAACATTATTCTCACACCTCTTAGGGGGAATAGTAAAACAGAATATATTTTATAGAAAACTTTATTTGACTTTTCTTAGATAATGGGATTGGAAAATATTTTGAGGGTATTATGTCATTCAGGCTGGTATCATTAAATGGAAGCTGTCAGAGCTGGTCCTTCCCCCAATTTTAAATGTTATAAAATGTGTCTGGTTTTTCACACCTCCGTTTCTAAGGGAGAGCCGTATGGTCAACACTCTCACGTAGAAGGAATGGCCGAGGGGCACAAGTTTGGATGGCAGAACAAGGGAAGAACCTTCCTCAGACACAGTGAGGAGGAAAGAGGGTTGAAGATTACAGGCAGAATGAAAGCAGAGGCGACAGACACAGGGAACAAATCTCCTATTGTCCCAGGTTGGCTGAGGTGACTGCTGTAAGGCTGGGCTGTGGAAATGGTTGCATTCTTACTAAAATCTGAGATAGCACTTAATTTGCACCAGG